TGTCTTATCTCTTGTTATTGGTATGCTCCAAAGCGATGCTAATCATTGCTTTGGCGAATGCTTTTAACACTAAACCCTGGAGACGAGTATGGGGGATCTAACCTGACTCAACGAGGCTGGAATTTTCATGAACCCTATGACTCCCAAAGCATTCCAATGAGGCCTTAGTCTAGCCCTCTAAGCCTCAGGAATTATTCCTTGAAAACAAAGATTCCTGAATATGCCTTAGCTTGAGTATATGAGACTGGCGATATTGAATCAGAACTCTGGCAGTCTATGGGTCTCAATGCGAGTCTATGGAGCTCTATGCGAGTCTTTCGGGTTTTATGCGAGTCTATGGATCCCTATGCAAGTTTGTAGTCATCTGAGTCAGTCAATGTGTCTTTATGTTAATCTATAGGTCTCTATGTCAGTCTATGGGTAGAGGAGTAATGCTCACAACAACGAGCAGAGCGCCGGGCCGTTAAAACACAATAAGCTGGCACAGTCATCTCAGTCAACCCAAGGCACGACCTGGGTCTGTCCCGTGACCTCCTGCCAGCGGGGCTTCGACACATCACGGGGCCTTAAAGTGCACAGAGTCTGGCACAAGTGCCGTGGTGACGTCACCGCCACTTAGTGACAAATGGCGGCTGTTGTTGTGTTCTGTATGGGTTTCCTCTGGCTTCCCCAGTTTCGTTCCATTGATACAAAAAAGACACACACATACACTGTAACTGGTAATTGGCCAAACATTCCAATTTAGCCTCTCGCTGCCGATCGTGTGTACTGACACCTCATTGTGGGTCCCCCTCTGTTCATAACCGAGTCTGTACACGTGGTTGAGCATCCAGTGGTGTAACTGGTCAGGGAAGAGATGCTCGCTCTGAAGCTGCAGTGTGCTGGGCCCACCGGTTTGTGGATATGTCCAGATCGAGCTCAGCAACAGCTCCCTCCACTCCAAGATTAAGTGAGTGTATGGACTCACTCTAAAAAGGGGGTTCCACAGTGGCGAAATGTTAACTACCTCACCTTGTATACAGGAGGTTGTGGGTGCAATCTCGATCCCGACCCCTGTATATTTGGGGATTGCATGTTCTATCCGTCGTCGCGTGGATTTTTCTCTGCGTCCTCCGATTTTTCCCTACAAAATTAGAAACATGTGCTTAGAGTAGTTGGCTGCTACAAATTTCTACGTGATGAGCCACTTCTCTTTGGACTATCATTTATGTCCAGATCGCTTCTGAAAAAGAGGTACAGAGCTAAGTGGAGCCTTACCTGGTAAAATAAAAAAATATATAACTTTCTTGTTTTTATAGTTTATTAAAGCACCAGCCATGTAGCTAGTTTAAGAGAACCCAACATCAAGTATGCCAGCTACATACCCTGTTTCGTCCCGGCTAGAGATCAGTGGGGAAATTATGGCTAATAACTCCCCATGAGTTGCGCCACCGCCTGCAACTTCATACCGCAATCGGTCATCACAACCTCGACTTTCACCGGCCAGCTGTGATGAGCATGCTATGGTGGACAAGACAAAAAGTCTCAAAAGATGCAAAACCATTCCGGGTCACCACCTGGAACATCAGAATCCTCTGCCAACCAGGTGCAGTGCATATACAAAATAACCTGTAAGGGCAAGAACCATCATCACGGGTCTGCATTAGGTGTGCGTTGACTCGGCGCTGGTGAAACCACTGCAGGAAATGACCAACCCTGTGGTCGTGATGACACAATTGCGTGACCTCATCATGTGCCTCAGAGATTTCAATGCAGTCTGTGGCACTTCCAGAGGTGGCCTGCTAACCGTGATTGGCCAACATGGCAGCGGCAATCCCCAACGACCACCCAAAATGACTCCTGCATTTCCGCAAAAGGAAATGGGCTGAGAATAGGTGGACTCTCGGTTCCAGCACCACGACATTCACAGGCCTGCCCCGCTTGTCAAGCGAGGGCAACACATAAAAATAAATCGATCTACATGGACGTTGTGTACACCAGTGCAGTGTAACACATCGGTCCTTCCTAAAACAATCTGATATGAAAGTTTTGAACTGACAACTGCTTTGACATCACGGCAACTGATTTTGACGCATCGCAGGAAAATGAATAAGTTTTGTGAACAATGTGCGGAGCTCGGTTATATGCGCCTCGGCGTGGTCGGCCATGCCCAGTACACGCCCACCTTCTCGAACCCTCGAGAAGGCTCTGCTCCCCGACCACGTGACCACCAAGGTCCCCTTGGGGCCCCTGGCCCCCACCTTGATCCGGTGACATGTCCGGTCTGGTTCACTCAGAGTGCCACGGCCTGACACGACCCCCGTGGTACTCAACAAACCTCCACACTGCCCTACCCGGCAGTGACCTCATTCGCACCGACCCGACATAGCAGTGACGTCATGCGTTCAGACCCAACATAGCAGTGACGTCATGTGTGTACAGACCCAACACGGCAGTGACGTCATATGTCACTACATCACTCCCCCTGTGTAAGATACAGCCTTCCGGCTGTGACCATATTTATGCGTGCCTCTCAACAAATAGAACGTCAATAAATAACCAGCGACCGACAATAAACTACGCGAGCAACATATTTGCACATGATGAGAGAAAAAATGTAAATGGTGAATTAATGACACCACAAGCATGGATGAATCGATTAACTCGCAAAACCCCCACCACATTCGGTACACCCCTGTAAAATTACGCATGCACAGAACAATAAACAACCGGGGTAACAACTTGCAACGTGTGAAAGAGTCATTTGAAGTGTGCGGTTTTCGAACGAGTCCGTGTGGTTGGACTTCCAGGCGAGGTGGGCCTACGCTCCCTCCCTGGAAGGTCCGGGGGGAATTTCAATGCTGGCGGGAGGGTGCAGCCTCGGACGGCAATGAGTCTACCGCCTGAACTGCGCAGTGCTGCTTCACTGGCGGCGAAGCCTTGGCGTGACCCTCCGGAGCTATGTCGGGTCGGTACATATGGAGAAACACACACACAGACAGAGAGATAGACACACACAGATACACAGAGAGAGAGAGAGAGACACACACACAGAGACACATAGAGAGAGACACACACACAGAGACATATAGAGAGAGAGACACACACCTAGAGAGACACACAGAGAGAGACACAGAGAGAGAGACACACACAAAACAATATCGTGTGAGCCTACTGCGGTTAAGCAGTGATCGGCCACGGCAGAGGTATTGGTTCTTCCGTGTTTCAAATCTGTCTTGTGTTCGCGAACACGGTCCAAGACGTGTTGTTTCATTTCCCCAATGTAATTGCTACCGCAGACAAAACCTAGTTTGTAGACGCCAGGGTATTGCATGTCAGCAATCAAATCTTTCACAGATGGGATCAGTTCATGGATTTTGTGGACTGTGTTGAATCGAAACTGAATCTTGTGTTTGTTCAAGATTTTGGAAATCTTTTTGGTAACCCCTGCTATGTGTCTCTGTGTGTGTGTCTCTCTCTCTCTAACCCCTGCTATGTATGGCAAGGTGATGGTTTTTATTGAGTCCACAGATGGTACCCATGGTTGGGGATACAGCTTTCCGGATTTTGCGGTCGGAATATCCATTCATCTTGAGGGCTTGGTGTACGTGAACCAATCCACTGGATAGGTGGTGTTGGTCGGAGATGCAATGGGCCCTATGGTGTAGTGTTTTGATGAGGGAATTCTTCTCGCTTGGATGGTGGTGGGTATCAGTCTTCAGATAGGAATCCGTGTGGGTGGCTTTCCTGTAGACAGAGTGCCCCAACGAGCCATCAGGTCTCTTTTTGATCAAAACATCCACAAATGGTAGCTTGACATCATTTTCCACTTCCATGGTGAATTTGATAGATGGGTGTATGGAATTGATGTGGTTGAAAAATTGGTTCAGTGCTGACAGGCCATGTGGCAAGATGACGAACGTGTCATCTACATATCTCTTCCACAAGGACGGACGTAGTGTAGATATCTGGATGGCATTTGTCTCAAATTTCTCCATGAAAACATCCGCTACCACTGGCGATAAGGGAGAACCCATTGGGGTTCCCTCATTTTTTGTAGAATGTACCATTCCAGGTGAAGAAAGTGTTGGTAAGGCAGTGCCTCACCAAAGTTGGTACATAAGGATGCAGTCCCTGTTGGACGAAGTCTTCAATGATTGAAATGGTGTCAGGTACAGGCACCTTGGTGAACAAGAAAACTACATCGAAACTGACAAGCAAATCATCTGGAGACATTGAAATGTCCTTGATTAGAGAAACCAAGTGAGCTGAGTTAAGTACAGCTGAGGTGGTCTTGACTGTGAAAGGAAGCAGGGTCTCCGATATAAATCGGGCCAGTAGGATCTCTATTGATTTTGGTATAGCTTCCATCATTAAGAAGATCCTGAATTTTTTTGTTGTAAGTGGTTTCATCCATGATGACAGTGGCAATGCCCTTGTCAGCTTAGAGGATGACAACGTCATCTCTCTTTTTCAATTGAGCGAGTTCAAAACGCTCGTCCTTACTGATGTTGCTAATGGGTTTCTTAGCGTTTTTGTGGATAGCAGCGATTTAATATCTTGCAACGTCTACCTGGATGTGTCCCAAACCTTTGAGGGCTACGTCTACCTGGGAAATGGTATCATCCACTGGGATGCGTTTTAGGGGTGACTGCGAAATTCAACCCTTTAGCTAGTACCGATTTTAAGCTGTCGAAAATCGGGCTGTTACTGTGATTGATAACAATCTTGTTAACATCTAACTTTTTAAGGTGTGGGTCTGGCTTCTTTTTTGACAGGAGGTTGAATTTAGCAATCAGGTTAACTTTACATTTGGTTGACATTGAAGTAGCTGAAGAAACTCATGTTATCTATATGGCCCCAATCAGATGTGGACATTTTCTTAGTTAATGCTAAGTGTGATTGTAAGAGAGTCTTGTCTAATTTATCAAGTTCAAATCGGAGGCTATACCTACACAAGATCCGTTTAGCGTTAGGAGAAGTGACAGCAGCAGATGTGAGTGTAAGGCGATCGGCATTACCTTGGTATCGCGGCATCTCTTCAGAAAGGTAAGCGACTCGCTCAGGTTATATTCTTGTCTCACAGTCTGTTAAAAGATCAAACAGTTGTGTGAAAACCCTCCCCGTAGTGGCGGTTCAATCTTGATTTGCAGTTTTTGTGACTGCAGGAATCCATACTTTTCAGTTCTTTCGATAAAGTCACATACGTAGAAAAAATAATAGATCACGACTTTCGATCGCCACACAAGCAATCGTCTTCATGTGGGAGAGAGAACCAGGCCTCTGAAACAAGTCTTTATATATAGAGAGCCGAGAGGGGGGGGGGTAGCCGCATCGGGCAAGAGGGTGGGAGCTAGAGATTGTGCCTAAGCGAGTGGGAAATCCAAAGATGGGAACCGAGATGGAGGGGGGGTGATGTGAAAGCTGCAAGAGCTCGGTTTGTGTCTCTCTCTCTGTGTGTGTATCTCCCTATATGTCTCTCTCTTGTGTCTCGTTGTGTGTGTGTCTCTCTCTGTGTGTATCTCTCTATATGTCTCTCTCTCTGTGTATCTCTCTATATGTCTCTCTCTCTCTCTTGTGTCTTGTTGTATGTGTGTCTCTCTCTCTGTCACTTTGTGTCTCTCTCTCTGTGTGTATCTCCCTACATGTCTCTCTGTGTGTGTATCTCCCTATGTGTGTCTCTCTCTCTCTCTGTGTGTATCTCCCTATATGTCTCTCTCTCTTGTGTCTCGTTGTGTGTGTGTCTCTCTCTCTGTTTGTCACTTTGTGTGTCTCTCTCTTTGTGTGTGGGTGTGTCTTTCTGTGTGTGTCTCTCTCTGTATCTCCCTACATGTCTCTCTCTCTCTTGTGTCTCGTTGTGTGTGTCTCTCTCTCTGTTTGTCACTTTGTGTGTCTCTCTCTTTGTGTGTGGGTGTGTCTTTCTGTGTGTGTCTCTCTCTGTCTCTCTGGGTATGTCCCTCTGTGTGTGTCTATGTGTGTGTCTCTGTGTGTGTCTCTGTCCGGCAAAACAACCCCCTACCTCCTCGTGGTGCGGGACGGGCAACGCTGTCGTGGGCAGTGCCGTGGGGAGAGGGCCAATTCAGTTTGGCCTTTCCCCTCATGGCGTTTGTAGCCGCCACAGCGGCCAAATGGGGGCTCTTTCATCGGTTGCATAACACTGTGTGGAAGCTACCTGGTCTCTCGCTCCACACGGAGCTTCAGGTCTTCTCGGCCACGGTCATTTCCTCCCTTCTCTACGTTTACTGTACGTGGACCCCCCTAATGGAACACCTTCGCCAGTTATAAAAACATTTAGGCTGGCCTGCCTATGATCCTTCCTGGGTTTAACCAGGCTGGATTGTGTAAGGAGCTCACAAATCCTTGAAAGATCTGGACAAAGTCCCATCGGTGAGCTCCTCCGGCAGGCAAGGCTGCGTTGGCTGGGTCATGTAGCCCGCATGCCCAGCCACCGCATGCCTAAACAGCTTTTGTTCGGCCGGATCGAGGGGTCGAAACGTACGTGACACGGGCAGTCGCTCTCCAACAACAACGGAGGGCGGAGGAGCGACGCTCACAACAACGAGCGGAGCGCCGGGTGGCTAAAGTACAGCAGGTTGGCACAGTACAGGGCACAGGTGGTGCATCAGCCAGTTGTCTCAGTCAGTCGACCCGTGGCATCTGGGTCTGCCCCTTTCGCTCCTGCCAGCGGACGTTTGACACTTCACGTGGCCTCAAGGTGCACATAGCCTGGTACAAGTGTCGTGGTGACGCCACTTGTTGTTGTCTCTGTGTGTCTCTCTCTATGTGTCTTTCTCTGTGTCTCTCTGTGTGTGTCTGTGTGTGTGTCTCTCTATATGTGTCTCTCTCTATGTGTGTCTCTGTGTGTGTTTGTCTCTCACTGTGCGTGGGTTTACCTCTCGGTGTGTGTCTCTCTGTCCTTCCCTCGATGTGGTGTTGTCCCTCGGTTGTTTCCCTCGTTTTCGAACGAGCTGGATGTCTCACTCGCACAGCCACCGTTGAGTTGGTTCGTTTACATTGACATGCTAATCTCTCACAATACAATGGCCACCTCCTCAGCTCTTGCAGCTTTCACATCAACCCCCCCTTCCCCCCCCTATCTCGGTTCCCTTCTTTGGATTTCCCACTCGCTAAGGCACAATCTCTAGCCCCCACCATCTTTCCCGATGCAGCAACCCCCCTCCCCCCCCCCCCACGTGACTTTCCCGAAAGAACCAAGATTATGGATTCCTGCAGTCACGAAAGCTTCAAATCAAGATAAGATATTTACTATTGTCAATTTGTAAGTTAATGTATGCCAATTTCACACAGTAAACACATTTTAACACTGAAAAAAACATAACAACACGTACAAACATGTCATACAAGATAGTGAAAAAAGAAGATATTTTAAATCATGATGATGTAGTGATTATCCGACGTTTTTGAAATCTGCGCCCCCCCCTGCCCTGATAAGCCACCAAATTATCGATCATCTACTGCACATCTACACAACGACTAATGTTTTGCCCGCTCCAAACAAAAAGCCGATTGACTCTGTCCAATTCCGAGACTTCATCAGCAACGCCTCCAACAACTTGCCTTACAACTCGGAACATTATCAACAACAAAAACAAGCAAAACGTGGTCATTGACGAGACGTGGAGCCGCATTGACAAGAAACCAAGCACGGCTCGTAGGGTCTGACCAAGATTACAAGAACCCTGAGCAGACAATGCAAGAAGCAGATCCGGGACGACCACCAGGGGTGGACAGAGAAGAAAGCAGGTCGCAGGACCAGCAACTGAAGATCCCAACATCTACTGCTCCAAGCGAGCCGAGAATGGAGCAATAACTGCTCTGAGAAAAAAAATATCTGGCCATTCGAAATTTGTAACATCTCAGCAGAAATGCTGAATCCCGAAGGCGCAGCCATCATGAAATGGATATTAATTATCTTCCAGCACACGTGGAGGACATCCTCAATAGCGTCAGAGTATAAGAAATGCATCATTGGGCCCTTCTACCAGGTAAAGGGGAGCAGAGGAATAACTTTCGTGGCATCGCATTCCTCTCCTGCCCCTGGTAAGCTATCCGCATCAATTTTGTGGCCCAAGTCAAATGCAAGCTTTTAGAAGTACACCACAGGGAATGGAGCAGTTTCACAACCGGAAGTCCCACCGTCGGCTGCATCACCAAGCTAACCTTTCTCATGCAAACAAGTCAAGAGTTCTGGCGTCATCTCTGGGTATCCTTAAAGCTGCTTATGACTCTGTCAACTGTAACGCGCATTGGCTTCTTCTCACGAGTATCAGATTACCACTGAAGATTGTGAATCTTATGAATGGATCTGAGCTCTACACAGACAATAGTCAGCTGCGTTCGCGTGAATGGAAAGTCGTCTGAGTGGTTCACCATCAAAAGCGGCGTAAGGGAAGGCTGCTGCACCATCGCCATGAAGCTGTTTCCTTGCCCCATTCAACTGGATCCTGCATTGTACAGTATACAAAGACCTTCTAGGAGCAACCCGGGCGCCACGGTGGCGAGATGTTAACTACCTCGCTTGGTATACAGGAGATCGTGGATTGGATCCCGATCCTAACGACTGCTGTATATTTGGAAATATTAACGAATTAGCATGTTTTGTTTACATGATAACCCTTACTAATTGGCTCTGTCGGGTAGTGGCAAGATTAACGACGCATTTATATTGCGTGATCTAACCTAAAAAATCTCTTATGGATAATATTGGTTACAAAAGCCTACTTGTTAAACAATATATTTGGAGGATGCATGTCTCTCTCCATGGTCGTGTGGATTTTTTTCTGGGTCCTCCGGTTTTCCCCTCCACATTTATAAAGATGCATTTAGAGTAATTTGGTGGCTATACATTTCCACATGATGATAAGCCACTTCATTGAGCTATTATTTGTGGCCAGGCAACTTCTGAAAAATAGCAACATAGCTCAGTGGGCCTTGCCTGGTAAAATAAAAATATATATTTTATAGTAATCGTGTTTAATCCTAGGTAATGAGATGTTCACCAACCTGGGCTACACTGATGATATTGGCTTACTGGCAGAAGTGCTTGAGGTATTACGCCTAACATTGGAGATCTTGCATAGTTGAAGCCCTCCCATTTGGCCTGTAAATAAACTGGACTAAAACCAAAATACAGACCACTGATGAGCAGCCACACAACTTGACCAAAGTGCAAATAATGGGAAACAATGTTGAAGTCGTAAAATAGTTCACCTATCTCAGCTGTAATCTCAATGAAACAGCCCCACATATACATCTGGAACTCCCAAAATGAACTACAGCAATAATGATCCGCCTCTGCAACATGTTCACCCTACCTGTAACTTCTCCTCTATGGCTCAGAGAGGTGGAGAACAACAGCAACAGAATGCTATTGCCAATAAACTGCAACTGGAATCACTACCTATGAGATCTTCACTCAAAACTGCTCTAGAGGAGTTGTACACCCCTAGCTGCCACTGCTATTCAGTGGCCTAAAATAAAATAAAATGTTTTGCTTTTTATTTAGTGTGCTGATCTTAAAGGTGCATTGAAAAATGTGATACTCCGACTGATGCTCCTGTTGTTTGTGGAGTGACTCATGCAGCCAGCTGTGGCTCTAGGGTTTGGTGTTACATGTTATTTATGTAGTTTATTGTTAAAAATTCGGTCACAGTTCCTATGATCACTGTTACATTGCATTTATTGCTTTATTTTGGTGATTTCTAAAAGTTTTTGGGTTTGACCATGTTTTTGTTTATTGTAGTACGGAGTTAGACTGATGGCCTTAATCTAATTTTCTTGTTGTTGTTTGACTTGCATCCCACTGGGATTTTTGCACACAGCGTTGGTGTACGGTGCTATTTCAGGAATATTTTGATGTTTTTTTCCTGGATTTTCTGTTTGCACAGTCACAAAGTCACTTTAAGATGTTTTCTTGTTCATGTTTTTGTTTTTTTGTTTGTTGCGGTTGCACCCGATTCAAGAGCTGAATGGCTCACAGGGCTATACCAAATAAATGAAACTATGATACTATGAACTATGAGCCGCAAGCTGGACGCCTTCAACCAAGCAAGAGCGTGCCAGCAAT